GGGTAACGAAATGTTTGCAAGAAAACAACCAAGCTCAGAGAACCCCAAGGACTCCACAGAAGGATTTGTCCATGTCACCATTCAATGTCGATCAGCAGGAAAGAAGGACTTGGAAACCACACTTCTGTGGGCCCACTTGAAGAATTATTTGTGGAAGCCACATGGTTCCTCAGTTCTTTGATCACAGCTAGTATTCCAGTGCACAGGGAAAACAGCCTTTCATACTTTTGTCTGCCTCTGATTCTCTCTAAGCCCACCTAGGCCATGAATCGTTGCTTATGCCAAGCACTGCAATCCTTCAGAGGCTACAGCCCAGAGCTAGGCATGTCCAGGACAAAAACAGGTAGGGACAACCTTTTCTCTCACTCCCTGCTTCTCTCTCCACCCAGCTACTTCTTCAGGGTCAAGGATCCAAACTGATTCCTTACCTAGTCTTTTGGCATTCAGCCAGCAATCACAGACTGTCCACCCACTAGATATATAGAAACCTACGATTACAGGATCATGACATTTCACAGGAGGGATAAATCTTAGTAGATTCCCCAGCATCTCTTCCAAAGATGCAGCAACATTATAGTTTTGTGACACAGAGGGAGGAATGTTAAATACATGGGGATTAATCACATCTTGTTCCTCGCTTCTTTCTTTGTCCTCACCCCAACTATTTTTTGAGTGCAGGCGCTGGCATGCAACCCAAAGGCCAAGTGTGGCACACCCTTTGCAGAAGCCATCTTGCCACCTCCTCTCATTGTAAAGTAAATGATGGAATCTCCAAAGCCCATCTTGCCCTGCATGAAACTGTGTGCCACAATGTCATAAAGTGCCCCATTTCATTGGAAGGTAACTTCTGTTTGATGGATGGTTGGATCTGAGTTAAGGGTGACATAGTAAATAAGGTATAGTAAGAGAGTTCCCAACTCCAGGAAGAACTAACCAGCCAGTCAAATGCAGTTACAGCCTCTCTTCAGCAGGGGAGGCTGGAAATGAAGGGAGAAGGGAGAAGATAGCAAACACATTCTTCACTCATACATATATTATAGTCACAGAATAGGGCTAATATAGTATAGTGACATGAATGTCAAGATGGAGAATGCCTACTCAGCCATGAAACTGTGGCTACGAACCTAGCCAAGTCACCATCCTTCTGCATATCCTATCCT